CGAGTGTAATCATCTCACCCTTTGTCACACTGCTTTTTGCTTGATTACCGTATAAAAACTGTCTTCAAAAAGTAGCCGCCGTTTTGTCTCAAGTTTTTGCCGTTGCCGTTGCCGTTGCCGTTGCCGTCGCTTCACTTGACTCAAAGATGGCCCCTTCTTTTGCCCTCTCCTTGGTGGGACTTCTTTTCTTCTTAGCTTCACTGTCAGCTTGCAGCGCAGATGACGTTCAAGTCAACAGCCCAAAGGGACAGTTTGTCGGAGAAGGCCTTACCGTCGATGGCCGGACGGTGTTCCGCTTTCTGGGCATTCCCTATGCGAAGCCCCCGATAGGGCCGCTTCGTTTTGCTCGTCCCCAGCCAGCTGACAGTGTAGGTGGGGACAATTACCAGGCAAAACAGTGGCCGCCAATCTGCGTGCAGAACACCAAGAGTCCAATGGCCGGCAACAGCGCCCACATGGGCAAGGCGAAGAACATGTCCGAGGACTGTCTGTACCTGAACGTCTGGTCACCGGCGGAGCTGAAGCTGGGAAGCACTCTCAACTCTGATCAGCTAAAGCCGGTCATTGTTTGGATTCACGGAGGTAAGAGATCAAAGTTGTTTTGCCCCTCCCTTTTTCTAACATTTGCACTATTTCCACCCAGGCGGCCTGGTAATCGGCACGTCCAGCTTTGACCTGTACGACGGCGAAATGTTGGCCGCCAAGGCGGACGCCATCGTGGTGACCTTCAACTACCGGTAAAGCAGATTTTGTTTTACAAATGTACTCAAAAATTCATTTTTAGAGTGTCTACACTGGGCTTCCTCTATTCTGACGATGTGGCAGCCGCCGACGTGAAGGGAAACCAGGGCTTCTGGGACCAGAACCAGGCGTTGAAGTGGGTGAAGGCGAACATCGGCGCCTTCGGTGGTCGGGCCGACCAGGTGACGGTGATGGGCGAGTCGGCGGGCGGCTGGTCCGTCAGTGCGCACATTCTCTCGCCCGCTTCGAGGGGCCTCTTCCAGCGGGCCATCCTCCAGTCGGGCGCCCTGACCAGCTTTCCGATGATCACCGAGCCGGCGGTGCATGTTCGGCGACTTCTGACCGGCATCCGGAGCGTCACTGGCTGTGCCACCCAGGCGGACACCTCCATCACCGCCTCAGTGGTGGAGTGCCTTCGGCGGCTGCCGGCGAAGAAGGTCGATGAGCTCTTCTACCAGATCGAGCAGGACCCCTTTGAGCCGCTGGTCCCGGTGGCGGTCATCGACGGGGAGTTTATTACGGAGAAGCCGGAGAAGATGCTCTCCAGTGGGAGCTACCAGAAGAACATCAGCCTGCTGGTGAGCACGGTGGAGGACGAGGGCAGCTTCGTCATTGCAATGTACGGCGGGGCGGTGCCCGGGCTGAAGGCAACGGATCCGGCGCCGTACAGCCTCGCCGAGGCGGAGACCTTCCTTCCCGACCTTCTCTCAAAGCACATCTTCACCGGCGCCAATGGTTACCCGCTGGTGAACGCCTCCTCCTCAGAGGACATCAAGAAAACGTACTTCAGCGGCTTCTCCGCAGGAAACGCCTCCCAGGCTGATGAGTGGCGAAAAAGGGTGGGCGTCGCCTTCGGTGACCTGGCCATCGGCTGCCCGACGCTGAACTTTGCGAGGGAGGTCTTCAAGGGGGCGGCGTCCACTACTGCCAAGGTCTACCAGTGGTACTTCAACAGCAAGCTGGGCGCGGAGAAGTTCATCTGCCACCCGTGGGCGGGCGCCTGTCACTGTAATGAGCTGTACGGCGTCTTTGGAATGCCCTTTCGCTATCCGGAGCAGTACCTGGAGCGGGAGCGGGAGATTAGCGGCGAGGTGATCGGCTTCATCGGGGCCTTCATTCGAACTGGGTATGATGCGATTTGATTTTAGGAGCCAAAATTTTGATAAAAAAATTTCATTTTTCTGCTCTTTTTACTAGCACTCCTGGGCCTCAGCACTCCGAATGGCTGCCCTACTCAATGGCCGAGGGTGGAAAGCTGGTGGCGCCGTACTACGAGATCAACAACGGCCCCAAGGTGCCGGCCAACTTCAAGGTCAACTTGAAGAGCCAGGAATGTGATCAAGTCTGGAAGCGGTACTACAACAACAACTAAACGAGCATCCTTTTTTCTTGCCTTTAGTGCTTGCTGAATCTCAATAAAAGGCAGCTTCCTTTCAATTTTAACCAATTCGTGTTGTAATACTATTTGTTGGCTTCTATACAAGGAAAATGTAAGCTTTGCGACCGAGGGAAGCAAAAATAATCAAAAAGTGGTTGAGTGCAAAAAAATCAACCAATAAGTGTAACTGATTTGTTGACACTTGATGATGACTGTGATGATGGTACGACAAGTTGAATGATTGAAGTTGGTGTCTGTCAGGCAGATGTGCAAAGAAAAGAGAGATAGCAAAACTGATTCCCTCTTCATTTTTTCTTTTTTTGTCACATGAAACCTGACAAATACCAAACAGACATCACCGCTCAACGCTAAAATATTTTCTGTTTGTGGTGCATCTGTACATAAAACTGCAACACCACAGTGGTTGAAAGCTTTATCTTTGCAGGGTTTTTTGGTTACTTCAGTAAATAACCAGCCGCTCAAAGAAGATGGTTTTTTTAAACTTCTTTTATCATTTTTTCTTTTTGCTGATCACAGTTTCCTTTTCCCTGTCATTGTCCACTTCTACTGATGGCAAAAGTAGNCAGTAAATAACCAGCCGCTCAAAGAAGATGACTTTTTTAAACTTCTTTTTTAATTTTTTCTTTCTGCTGATAACAGTTTCCTTTTCCCTGTCATTGTCCACTTCTACTGATGGCAAAAGTAGTGGAGGTGAAGTAGCTCAGGTCAACACTTCCCTGGGGCAAATCATAGGCACTAGCCTCACCGTCGATGGCCGGACAGTGTCTCGCTTTCTGGGCATTCCCTATGCAAAGCCTCCGATTGGGCCGCTTCGATTTGCTCGGCCCCAGCTGCTGGAAAATGATGGCAAAAACACAAGTTTCCAGGCAGTACACTGGCCACCCATCTGCCTGCAGAGCTCCAACAGACAGCTGGCTGGAGATGGCGCCCGGTTGGTCACCACGAAGAACATGTCCGAGGACTGTCTGTACCTGAACGTCTGGTCGCCTGTGGAGCTGAAACTGGGAAGCACTCTCACTTCAGATCAACTGAAACCGGTCATTGTTTGGATTCACGGAGGTAGGTGTTGCTCACCAGTTGTTGTTTTGCCCCTTTTTCTAATTTGCCCTATTTCCACCCAGGCGGACTGATCATCGGCACGTCCAGCTTTGACCTGTACGACGGCGAAATGTTGGCCGCCAAGGCGGACGCCATCGTGGTGACCTTCAACTACCGGTAAGGCCGAGAAAAATAAAATAGTGAACACCTACCTTTCATCTTTAACCCTTCATCCTAGTCTGGCCATTCTGGGCAACCTCTACTCCGACGAGGTGGAAACGGACGTGAAGGGCAACCAGGGCTTCTGGGACCAGAATCAGGCGTTGAAGTGGGTGCAGGCGAACATCGGCGCCTTCGGCGGGCGGGCCGACCAGGTGACGGTGATGGGCGAGTCGGCGGGCGGCTGGTCCGTCAGTGCGCACATTCTCTCGCCCGCTTCGAGGGGCCTCTTCCAGCGGGCCATCCTCCAGTCGGGCGCCCTGGTCGACTTTCCTGGGTACGCCAGGCCGGAGGACTTTGTCCGGCTGGCGCTGACGGGCATTCGGGCGGTGGGCTGCGCCTCGGAAAATGACACCTCGGTTAGCGGCGAGGTGGTGGCCTGTTTGCGGCAGCTGCCCGAGGAGAAGATCACCCAGGTCTACGGTAGCATCAAGAAGGCGCCCTTTGAGTCGGTGGTGGCCGTCGTCGATGGCGTCTTCATTCCGGAGGCGCCACGGAAGATGCTCTCCAGTGGGAACTACCAGAAGAACATCAGCCTGCTGGTGAGCACGGTGGAGGACGAGGGCAGCTTCATCTACAGCATGTTCAGCAAGAAAAGCAGCAATAATGATGATCAGCGGGCCAACTTTAGCCTCGCCGAGGCAAAGGCCTTCTTTCCCGGCCTGCTGAAGGCAGGGCTTTTGAAGCCAGTTCAGCTAAGCGGTCAGGTGGATTTAGCCGCCCTCGGAGAGACCATCAACAAGGTCGTCTTCAACGGCCTGCTGGCACCTCCGGCCATCAGGCGGCCTGGGGAGTGGCGAAAACGGCTGGGCGTTGCCTTCGGTGACCTGGCCATCACCTGTCCGACTCTCAATTTCGCCAAAGAAGTCTTCAAGGGGGCACCGAACTCGGCCCGCGTTTACCAGTGGTACTTCAACAGCAAGCTGGGCAATCAGAAGTTCTTCTGCCAGCAGCCGTGGGCGGGCGCCTGTCACACTAATGACCGTAAGTAGAGGACGTAAGGGTCGAATGATGAGGAGGAGTTCTAATCTAATTTTGTAATCTACTTTGTTAGTCTACTCGGTCTTTGGCATGCCTTTCCGCCACCCGGAGCAGTACGTAAACCGAGAGCGGGAGATTAGCGCCGAGGTGATCGACTTTATCCGGGCCTTCATTCGAACTGGGTAAATTTAGTTGGATTAGCAAATTAATTAAGTTTGGACTAATATAGCATTTTCAGCACTCCCGGTGACCGGCAGCCCGAATGGTTGCCCTACTTTCTGGTGGACAACGGCAAGGCGGTGGCAACGCCCTACTACGAGATCAACAATGACTACAAGAAGCCGGCCAACTTCAAGTTCAACCTGAAGGAGTTTGAGTGCAGCAAAGTTTGGGGGCAGTTTTACAGGCAGTGAACACTGTGAAGATTTATTGAAAAAAAAACATCTCCATTAGCATTTTTTTTCAAACTACTGGTACACTTTTTGTTTTGTTTTTTGCTGTGCCTGCAATGCACTCTCAACTCAATGTACCATCAGTCAGTCAGTCAGTCAGTCAGTCAGTCAGTCAGTCAGTCATTCATGGTCACCGCCAAATCTGCCCTACTTTTTTCTTCATCACTATTGCCACCACCACCACTTTGTCACCCAATATCAGCCAGTTTCAGAAGAAGCACTAAAAATCAAATTACAGCATCAGCATCATCAGCATCATCAGCTTCTGCAGTCGACTCACTGTTACAAGCACACACCGTTTCAGGCTACGGAAATATCACTCTGCTGAGTAGGCCAACCAACCACCACCTTATCAGCGCTGTGCAGCTCAGCAGTTTTTTCCCATGGCTGAAAACACTGTCAGCAATGTCAGCAATGATTGCAACTCAAACAGTGTGATGTTCACACTAATCAGCCAATCAATCAATCAAACCAGCGATCAATTAGATTGCAAGCGTTTTTATAACAAATACAATTTTGGCAACATTTTACAGGAGCGAGAAGAGAAGGGGAAAAAGAAGAAGAGAGGAGTTGGGTACAGTACTAGCTATTGTGGTGCAATATTGAACTAGAAGAGAGCTAAAAAGAGCTGACCTAAAGACCACTTTACATCAAGCAAAGTGTGGTCTTCAGGTGCCTACTGCTAAGCAGAACTACTATTGAATTGTGCATCAGCTACCTCGAAAAGATAGTACAAAGAGAGCTACTAAGAGTAGTAATCTAAAACTAAAGGAGAAAAGAAAAGAGGAAAGGAGGAGGAAGATAGAGATCGAAATCTATTTGACGAGTGGAGAGTAGAATTCTGAAGATGGTAGAAGAAATCTGCTGCTCTGCTGGTTCAGCTTGGCTGACCAGCCGCCGCCGTTTACTGGCGCTCGTACTTGCGCGTCACGGTGACGGCGTTGCACTTGGTGATCACGTCAATGTAGGTGGGCGGGTTGCCGCCCTGGAAGGTCCGCTCAATGGTGACGGTGGGGCTGCCCTTCTGCACGTGGGTCCACTTGTTCCCGGCAATGACAATGGTCGACTTGACGGTCTGCCCGTCGGCTCGGGGCTCGTCAAACTCCTCGCCGCTCTTGAAGGTGACGGCGGCGGTGGAGAAGGTGGTCACCGTCTGGAGGGTATAGGTGCCGGCCTCCTTGTTGCGGGTGATCACGTACTCGGAGCCGGAGGCGCCGGCCGCCAGGCGCTTGAAGTAGCCAATGCCCAGCTCGTAGAGGAGGTCCTTGTAGTTGGAGGTGTCGGCCACCGTCATCTTGTAGCGGCCGCTGAAGTCGATGTCCTCGGCAAGCACGGCGCTGGTGGTGGCGGCCAGGACGAGGGCCAGGGCCAGGAGTAGCTTGTCTGCGAAAAAAGAGGAATTGATGAAATAGGTAAAATGATAGCTCAAGAGACGATTCTGTGGTGGCCACTTACTAGCCATTTCGGGTTTTTGGTGGTGGTGGTGACTAAAGAGTGCTGGGGAGTACTTCGAAGAGTTTGCTGATGCTGTTGGTGAGTGAAAAGGAGAGAAAGGTGAGCCGTTTATATACAGTGAAACAATGTTGTACTTGAAAAGAACTGCCACCCCCTCCATTGCTTTCTCTGAAGAGGGCGAAGAAGAAATGCCGAAAAGAACAGACGAACGGTAAGTTCAGGTACTGCTACTGCAGCCGCCAAAGATGTTACAGCATCAAGGACGCACTCTCTTCTCTCTTCAGAAAAAAGCTCTGACCACACTTTCAACATTGTCAGAGTCTTGCTGTACTCGGCAGTCTAAGTTTGCAGACGACTCTCAACCGGTCAGTCAGTCAGTCAGTGAGTTAGTAAAACACTTGCCGAAACGCACGTGTTGCACTGTACAAGAGAAAAAGAGGCAGGCAGGCAAAAGGCAAAAGAAATGGCCATAAATCTCGATGGCAAATATTTGACAAGGCGCCATCATCAATAATTGATGATGCCTGATTTGGCAGGGAGTCGCTAAAATTCACACGAAAGAAGAGTTGTACACCTCCTCCTCCTCAGGTGGTGTTCAGGGTACTCCGAGAAAGATGGGTAAAAGTAGAAGGCGAAGAACAGCAAGACAAGTGTTGCAACTTGCCAAAAGAGAAGAGAGCTGTCAGAAGTTCTGCTTCAGTGATTGATTAAGTAACTCTGATGATTGCAACGCTCACTGTACTGTACTGTACTGTACTGAACGGTCTAAAAGGCAGAAGATGAAGCTGTCGGCAAAACGAAAGGGTACATTGCACTTCAAAGAAGTCAGGTAAATCAAAGATGCTGAGGCTGATACAAAGTAACTGCCTAGTAACTGACGCTCAAAATAGAAGGTGCAAAAGCTAACAAAGGTGCTAACAACTCTCAACTCAACCTGCTTGCTATGCTGACTGGCGCTAGGGGAAGAACAGGTAAACAACAATAAAAGGCTGAAGAAAAGACTGAAAGTGAAAGAGAACCTGTTCAAGCAGGAGCTGACCAGAGACAACAAAAAGAAGAGGAGGAGGAGGAGGAGGAGGAGGAGGAGGANAACACAAAGAAGAGGAGGAGGAGGAGGAAAGCAAACACAAAGAGCAAAAAGTACGAACCTTTGGGCTGAAGTTCTTCGGAAGTGAAGTGAAGTGGGCTCGCTGGTAGTTGACTGAAAGACACGACGACTGGTCACACTGTTTGCCGCGGCCAGTGGTTAAATAGGCACCAGAGAGAAGAGGAGCTGAAGAGCTGATCTGGTATCTCCCGGTGGCGGTAGTAGTAGTGGTGGTGGTGGTGGTGACAAACAGCTATGAGTGGAATTGAAGACCGTCGTCGTCGTCGTCGTCGCTGGTGGCGTCGGTGAAATCGCACTTGGTTGCTGATGCTGGTCGATGCTGATGCTGATGCCGCTGCTGACAAGGCCGATTGATGAGAGAGCAGGCGAAATGAGTGAGTGGGCTTGAGTGAGCGAGTCAAGTGGAAGTGGAGGAGAAAAAGAAAGAGAAAGAAGAAAACGAAACGGTGACAAAATCAAACTCGCTGACGTGAGTTTGAGGTACGTGGCTTTTGGCTGACTGGACGCGATCGTTAACGCTGCTGCTGTTGCTGCTGCTGCTGCTGCTGGCGTTGCTGGCAGAGATCTCAAGGCTATCGCGCACAAGTTCGATTACTTGCTCAGAAAGTGAGAGAGAAAGAAGCTAGAGAAGAGCTGGCGCCTGAATATGAGAGTGTGTGTGTGTGTGGAATGCCAGTGAGAAGTTGGGGAGTTTGCCCAGTAAACTGAGGGGAGGGAAAAAACACTGGTAAACACACTGTGAGAGTCCCTGGTTTTAGTTTAGGTTATCAGCACTGACCCAGAAGCTAGTGGTGGCAGTGGTGGTGTTGATGGTTACAGCAGTGGTGGTGCCCTTGTACTTGGAAAGAGCTGATGAGCTTGTTTACTGCTGAAATGTGATGAGATGTGCTGCTGCTGCTGGGGAAAGACGAACACGACTCGACGCTGCGGCGCTGATAAGGTGGCAGAAGCAGCAGTGCCCAAGATAAGATCAGAGGGATTGCAAAAGAGAAGAGAGAATGTAGCTGCTGTTGCTGCTGATGCTCTGTACAAAGTCTGCTCCTTTGGCTGCTGCTGCTGCTGCTGAAACTACTCGAACTGCTTAAACTTTGACCGGTGGTCATGTGATAGCAGAGAGGAGGAGGAGAAGTAGAAGTAGGAGGGGGATAGAACTTTAGTGGAGAGACTGATTTTCAACTTGAACAAAAATGTCAGTGTCAGTGCTGACGAAGCACACAGCCAGTGACGCCAACAGCACTGATGATGATGATGCGCCTTTGAACTATTTACAGACTAATGAGACACTGCTACTGCTGCTGCTGCTGGGAATGCGCTGTGAAAGTGAATACAGTTTGTTTGCCTGCCTGCCTGCTTGTTTGTATGTCTGTCTGTGAGTGTGTGTGTGTGTGTTACCAGGCTGGTGAAATGTTTGCCATTGAAAGTATGCTGCCATTGCCATTGAGAGATGGTGGCCACTGATGGTGGGCACTAATGATCATCCGAACATCCGCTGCTGCTAATGACACATTTGTTTGGGCTTTATTGTGTTCAAAGCATTCAAAGCAGGCAACACAAAAAAACAACATCGTCTCACGCGACAAGCGGCGACACTGCTGTTGCTGACAACGGAACAACCGGAATGAACCTCGAGGGCGGCAGCTGTTGCTGCTGATGCTGCTGCTGTACAGTACTGCTGGTGCTGGTGCTGGCCACTGCAGAGTAGTGTTTGGATATTGGCGAGTTGTTTGGTCGGGTAAACTGGAAGGCAAGGTTGGAGTGGCAGCAGCTTTCAGCAGATTGCTGGTTGTGGTAGTCCTGCTGCACACTGTTCTGGTCCACTCCAATTTGGATCACCTGCTGGTCATCGCCGTCATTAGTTGACTTTGCATTTGATGATTTCCGTCGGTACAGCGCTTCGAAGGCAAAGTTGAGCGCCAGAACGAGGAGCAGAAGAAAGCAGAGGCCAAAGACGCTGACCATTATCTTGAACTCCAGCGTGGACCTCCAAACTGGTGGA